GAGTTCAGTTATGACAGTCGGATAAAGGTGATCAAAGATCGCTGTTTGGAGCTCATGTAGGCCTACAGTTCAAAATTCATGTTTAACTGAATAAACAGTTAGTAAACACAAGTACATCTTATTGAACATTTATTTTCATTACAAATTATCATAGTAGAACAGTTTCTCAAGCAGTTTGTGATGCATTTTGGAAAAAGAAGATAAGCCCCTGGTCTAATGAGCCACCTGGCTTGAGAAACTCGTTCTCTGCCTTTGTCAGAATTCAAATTAGCCATTTTAATCTAGATGAATCTGGATTCATTCCGAAATTAATCTAGATTTTTAAAAAAATGATCTATGTCCACATATAGCTCTTACCCCTGTAAGCAAATTCAAAGTTTTAGCAAAGAGCATAGCATCACCAAGAGGCGACACTCTAGTGCGATTCGGGGAAACAGCCACTAGATGGTGCGGCGGCCATTTTTAAATGAAAATTCCAATAGAACAGCAGCATATTATAAGTCTGTAAAATGAACTATTAAAAGTGCTGATGATTGTGATAGTAAGTGTTGATATCTTTCAGGTTGTATCTCTGCTTTAATACGCTTTTTAAATAAATAAATAAATAAAAAACAAAGCAGCTGCTTGCCATCGCGACAGCAAGAAGATTTAATGGACAGTCGACTGCTTCCACTCCAAAATGGCGGAATCCGGGGCTGTTGCTGGGCGCTGCTGTTGTAATGGAACAATCTATTGAGTGTCGCCTCTTGGTAATTCTAAGCTCTTTGGTTCTAAGCCTCAAACTGAGATGTTTGTTTGATTGGGATTTGTCGCCGTGGTAACTTTCACTACACTGCTAACCTGCTACAGAGCAGTTTTATTCTGGGTTTGAGGTCGTGGACCCCAACCTGGAACAATCAGCTTTATATTATATGGATTAATATTAATATTATATATTAAGTCAATTATTTCACACAAGTAATATTAATTGTAGCTTCAATTTAACTCGAATATATTCAGTTTTTAATTTACTGTATTGTTTTTAAATGCTAAAAATGTATTTAATATTCAACAAAGAAATATCTTGCTGACTTGCTGAGGAACGACCCAAATTGACGTTCATGCATCTTGTGATTGGCTGTTTGCTGAATGTGTCAGACTTTTAGGGCCCTATCATACACCCGGCGCAGTGTGGCGCAAGGCGTGGCGCAATAGTCTTTTGGTAGTTTCAGCTTGGCGCAAGAGTCGTTTTGAGGTGTTGCGCTACGCTCTTTAAATAGCAAATGCATTAGCGCTCATTTTTGCGTCCATAGGCGTTCTGGTCTAAATAGGAAGGCGTTCTGAGGCGGACTGCTGGCGCGTTGATATTTTGAGAATCTATAATATATTTTTCATTAGACCAAAACTAACCCGGTCTAAACTCCGGCGCAGAGTTGCGCCTCGCTTACGCACTGCTTAATACGCACAAGAGAGCAATAGGCAAATATCTTTACATATGAAAAATTTCAATATTAAGGATATATATAGGATATAATAAGAATAGATATAGAATATAAATATAAAGGATTAAAATATTACAAAACATATTATTTTCTAGCCTACATAAATATGAAAAATCACTGCTTTTATGTCTTCTTCATCTTGGGAGGCTTTTTCAGTTCATTCATAACAATTTACTTTTGTATAATGTTATTATTATTATTAGCAGTATTATTTATTATATCCATATTTATATTTGTTTTATTAAAAACAAGCTTAGATTTGCCCACCTGTCAGGTTTTAGATCATATGGGGCGCAGCATGTGTTTTAGGATATAACTCAGGTTTTTAAGCACATTTTGCTATTATTATTCATTTATTCGTTTGCTAGAAATTAGAACTGAATTTAGAAATAGTTTTGAAACAAATATTTGCGCTTAACAAACAAAAGTATTTATTTATAGACTAATTGATATCTGTGCGTAAAGGTTTCCCTATCCAAGAGCGAATGTGAAAGTAGTTCCATTATCTCTCATTCTCACGCAGTAGATGCTCTGTTTAACAGTTTTCTGTTAAAAAACTGTCAACTGTTAACTGTTTGCTTGTGAAATGCTCATTTTTTCCACTTAGACTTACTTTGCTTCCTGTAAATAGCGAATGCACTCTTGGCGCGACGCAGCTGGCTCTTAAAGGGAATGGGAGATGAGACTCTAATTGGTTTATTCTCAAAACACACCTATAACTCATTAAGAAAATAAACTCAACCCTTTTAGAACATGCGCCGCGGCGCAAGGCAGATTTCCCGTCCTTAAATTAGCAAAAATGCGTCCTGACACGCCCTGAAAGCGTTTGCGCCCTGTGTTTTGCGCTCTGGGCATGGACCGTCAAAATAGAGCCCTTAGCGACAACCTGGGGTTTGTTCAACTTATTCTGTGCAACAGGGCTCTGGTTGAGTTGCCTTAGTTTGGTGTTGCCATGCAATAAAAGAGATACACAGATATAACCAACATCATGTGACATGTGCTTTTAAAACAATGTTGTATTTTTGAGTTAACACAAAACAACGTTGATGTATTTTTATTATTATTACTTTGAATTGTTGAAGCAAAATTTCTTACTATGGGATGAGGTGAAAAGGACTGTATTACCACTGGAAAAACCATAATGATAACTTGCTTTCACATCTGTAGTTTGCTTCATGTGGTCCAAACCAAGGGCAATAAATGATATATTGTAGAATTTTCTGCCATCTTTAAGTCGTTTTCACACCACACTGCTGGCTTTGGTCTGAACCAGTTGAAAAGAAAAAAATGCAGTCATCTGACAAAATCCACATCACTTATTGGCCAGATGTTGTTATACGTATTTCCTAAACTGCCTTTTGATTGGTCAGAATTCACGTGCGGGAAAATGCCAATGGAGCTCCCACAAGTAAACAAACTGGCAGACACAAAATGTCGCTTTTGACAATGGAGCTACGACTGCGCTGGCTGATTGTATCCCTGCTCAAAGTATACTATATAGTTTGTATACATGACTAATATATTTCGAGAGAAGCGTAGCTGCGGCTGGAAAACAATGTTTTAATGCATTGCAAACAGCAAAGGCGCATCGCAAGTCACTTAAGGAGGTGTGAACTAATTTAGCTAAACTGCCACATGGTCATCTTGCGGACATATTACCAACGATCTATCTGCTGGTAATGTTTTTCCCTTTCTCTCTCTCTCTTTGTTTAAAATTGTTGGTAAAGCACTGTCAACAAATAATTCTCCACATTGAATAATGCACAGCTACGACAGCTCTTCAAGGAGGTATCGGTACGCTTTTTTGGTCCGCCTTTGGTGCTCATTCAAGTACGACTGCTACATTCACACCTGCCCAATCGAACCACACCAGGATGGAAAACGAACTCTAGTGCGATTCAACCAAACGAAATAAGGCAGATATAAAAGCTCCCTTGGTCATGTCTAAAGAACATCTTAGCCAATCACTGTGGAATTAGCATTAGCTGTTATGTTTTAGGCTAATCATTTCAACAGGCTTTGAGATATTCAGTGCAGGAGCTGTAAAGGCACTGCCAACATTTGAAAAGAGGGGCATAAACAGCTCATTTGCATTTAAAAAAAGATGGAAAAAAGTTTTTCTTTCCACCGAAATTGGGCCTGTTCAGAAAAGTATAATAAATAATGTTTTTAGTTTTTTCAGCCAACACTGAGACTCCTGTAAACACCCCTTCTGTTAAACACAATAACACAATACAAGGTATTCTGAGGAAATCTAAAAACCTGTAACCATTGACTTTCATAGTAGGAAAAACAAACTGCATTGAATTGATTTGTTACATTTCTCTCTCTTTCTCGCTTTCTTCTCTCTCTCTCTCTCTCTGTGTGTGTGAGTGTGTGAGTGAGTGAGTGTGTGAGTGAGTGAAGTAGAATAAAACTCGAACATGTTTGTGACATGGAAGGTGAGCATATAGCACTTTTCGGTTTTAGGTGAACTATCCCTTTAATGTGTCTTGACCTGGGGTGTCCAAACTCATTCCTGGAGGGCTGGTGTCCTGCATATTTTAGTTCCAACCCCAATTAAACACACCTGAACCAGCAAATTAAGCTCTTTCTACTTGTACTAGAAACTTCCAGAGAGACATATTGGAGCTAAACTATGCAGGACACCTGCCCTCCAGGACCGAGTTTGGACATCCGTGGCTAGACAATATAAATCAAATCATTTCCATGACTAAGCACAAATATTTGGAACTCGTAATGAAATTATTATAAATAATGGAAAGGTGTAAGAGACTTGAATGCCCCCATGTCTTTTTTTTTTGAGTTTCAATCCGGAATGTACCATTTACTTATATGTGTGTGTGTGTATATATATATATATATATATATATGTGTGTGTGTGTGTGTGTGTGTGTGTGTGTGTGTGTGTGTGTGTGTGTGTGTGTGTGTGTGTGTGTGTGTGTATATTCTCTTCTAAGACTGCTGCCCCTGCGATCCGGCCATGGAAAAAGCATCTAAAAATGAATGAATGAATTCTTATCTTTTAATATTTATTTTATATTTGTTAATTTTTTGATCCAGACTTGACCCCTAACACCAGCACTTTTCCTAAATGCTGGCAACCTTACAAATTTGAGTTGTTTAAACTGCACAAAGGCTCTTGTTAATAATCGTTTCATATTTATGTAAAATAATGTTATGTAAAGAAGGCTTTGTGTGAAACAACTTTTCTTGATCAACAAAAATAGATGTTTTTTTTCATAATAAAAATGCAAGGACAATGTGTTTTAGTGCAGATAGTTGTTCATGTAATTTGTCTTTTTTAAACTCGTACACCTTTTATGGTCATTACACATAAGCTTCATAATACAGACATGGGTAGAAAAATATACCACAACATTCCTCTGTAGGCATAACATAATCTCCATCTGCATGTAACTATATATATATATATATATATATATATATATATGTGTGTGTATATATATATATATATATATATATATATATATATATATATATATATATGTGTGTGTATATATATGTATGTGTATATATATATATATATATATATGTATGTATATATATCTTTCCAAAGTTAAGACATCACCTGTAAAAGCCTAAAGCATCGCTATGTTCTACATTCTGGAGAGAATAGACTTTAAATGTCACTATGTACAAGGTGTTATGTTTGCTTAAGATATCACATATGTCTACGTACAATACAATAAAGCATCTTGCGGTCGTTTACAATTCCAGCATTATGAAAAACTGCCTCTCGGAGAGAACTCAGTACACTTAAATGGCATCACTTTGGCACTTTTACGCCAATGAATTATCTATAGAGAGCAATGATTATATAAACAATGACATCATTCTTATATCATCCCATTTGTACTGACACCGGCCTCAACATTCAAGCTATCAAGCGTTTCAGCGTATATTGCAGTGCATTAAAATAATGTGCTTGGGAAGCCATTTACATGAAGGGTGATAATGGGTTTGGGTTTTGCTCAGTCTACTTGCGTCCAGTAAACTGTCATTGAAAAGCAGCAGAAACAAATCATTTCTCTACAAAAAGCATTTGTTAGCTTTGTTACATTGACATGGATTCACCACCTTCCCCCTTCGATATTTTTTTGTACATTTTATTTGTTTTCTTTTTTGTAAAAAAAGCATAGAAAATAAGTTATAAGTATATGAAACAAATTCTTAGGTCCAATGTCATACAAAAATGTATGAATTAACTCTAAAGTCGTTTTTGAACATCCGTTCATATAATTAATGCAACTCAGATTGATATTTGAATAGTTCATAAATAATTTCCTTATGTTTTATCTATATATCTCTATATATATTGCAATGTTTGCTGAAGAAAACGAATGTTTCACCACTAAGCGCTGTAAAACTTCGTTAATCCTAGCATTTGGTCTTCTGAGCTATAATTTCCTTAGTGATGGAGTCAAAGAAACAAAGAATGTAAGGCGTTGTAATACATTAGTAACTCTGCACGCAGTATGACACACCATTTAAGGAGATGCTGGAGTAATAGAAGAGAAATGTCTACCTTCTCCAAAACGATTCAAATCCCATGCGCCTGCTCTGATGCATCAACATGCAATACCTGCATGCATTGAAATAAATCCATCCTTCTATCCTTCAGTGTCCTCTGCTGGAAAACAGCTACTGGTTAATGTTACATGTGGCTTTAGATGGCGCTCTGGACCACTGCACACACTGAGGCGTCACAAAATTAATGAACCTTTTCGTCTATTCGAGCTATACGTTTTCACGGACACGGGCCTAAAATGTTCACTATTATGTAATTAGGCTGATTAATAGGAGACATGACGTGTGTGAACTCTGCACTTGTGTCTGTCTTTTTTTATAATCTAATGACTGTACACAGGCGAGATCGAGTAATTGCATCAAGCCTTCTCAAACCCTCCAAAAAAATAGACAGACGTTTCCATAGCTTCAACTATATTCAAGTAAATGTATTCGCTAATATTCAAAGAACATATATGCTAATATTTGTAGTTATTTTTTTTTTTTCATCTTTTAAAAAAATACTAAAAAGACCATCCAAAATAAAACCTAAAAAAGGTGCTTGTATGTGTAAGCTGGGGCTAGTTTCGATCAATGGAAGATTAATTGTTCACTTTTGGAACTGCAACCTAAGGCTAAGTTTACACGACAGCGATGTAGCCAAAAATGGAAAGGTTTTTCTCTTGCGGTTTTTAAAAAGTTACACATTTACACAACCACAAAAATAGCCAAGAATGCTGTATTACATATGCCAGGGCAATTTTTTGATGCTGTCTCCTTGATCGTAAACAGTACCTGTAAGCAAGTAAAGTTGTTGGTAAAGTCTAGAAGGGATACAGCTGCGGATACTTGTGCATGCGCACATCAGTGTAGCATAACGCTTGTGACACTGAACAACAATTATTACTATTTTTATGTTACTGTGAGGGGTAGGTTTAGGGTAAGGCTGGATCTGGTAATGATTTTTGCCATTTTAATATGATAGGACTGTATATTGACAGGAAGTGTAGTGAGAAGCGGATATTGAAAGGTTTGCGAGTTTGGACTTGAACTCAGGACGCCCGCTACACAGTTGCACTGTATGTGTCGGCGCACTGACAACTAGGCTAAATATATCAAAGTCTTTTTAAAGCAAGTGTTTTCACTCAGTGGCCATCTTTGGGGAAACATCGAATTCTACAAAATTGCTAGCCAAGCTTACGATTGAATGTCCTACTAGAAAGCACCTATATAGTTTACCAACAACGCTTTCTTTAGTTTCATTTCTAAATGTTTGAATCAGACAAAATCTGCAGGAACTCACGTCTGGTCTGATCCCCTCTCCTAGAGAATCTTCAGTCTAAAGTGATTACTGATTGGCTCCTGTACAAGAAGGCAAGACTTCAGTCGTCATCATGTGTATATATTATATTATATTATATTATATTATATTATATTATATTATATTATATTATATTATATTATATTATATTATATTAATTCTCTGGTCGGAGCTGTATCCTTTCTAGCAACAACCCTTGGCACTGTTGTAAAATTTGCTGTGTGCGATGCATCTCGGTTTGTTGTAATCTAAAGTAGATCCAAACTTAGCCTTAGCAAACAACAATCACACTACCACATACTCTGCTACTGTTGTGCGTTTGTTCGCATTTGCCTTTAATCTACAGCACAACTCCCTAAACATGTAGCCTGCATGAGCATGACGTCATAATTCTGAAAGGCTTTGATGCATCGTTTTCGCACCTGCTTCGATTGTTAACACTAGATTGAATGGCCGTTATCAATGCTTATCACCTGATAGATATGGGCTAGTAGGAGTCTTCTGTGCCTACTGGTAGGTTCAAAAGGCTGTTATCATCCTTCCACATGGTTAATTAGCTATACTAATAGAGAAGACTCCAGGACCAGATCTGATTTTTCATTATTGTGATGTTGGGTTTAGGGTTGGGGTAGGAGTAAACGTTAATTAAATACAAATAATGGGAAATTTAATAAATAATATAAATAATTCTTGTTAACTTACAGCCACAAACGCATGTGATCTATAGCTGTTTAACTATGTGGATGGATGATAACAGCCTTTTGAGCTTATTATACATGATCTTTTAGCTGATAACCACTAATAACGGCCATTAAGCCGAGTGATAACATTCAAATCCACTGGTTTTCAGGTGTTTACACGGACATGGCAATGGCACCGATTTCAAAAACCTTAGTTTTATGCGCTTTCAGTCTAAAAACGCTGTTGTTGTGTAAATGAACAGGCGAAACGCATACAGAACTTTGCATTTTGGGCTGAAAACGTTGTCGTGTAAACAGCCCCTAAAACGCGTCCTAATATGATGGATGCGTTTCATCACGAATCATTTATCCAGCATATGCAAGTCCTGACTACAGTAACAGTCAAATTCATTTGGCTCGGTTTAGTCAAAACACCCTGGATACGCCAAAAGAGTGCCCATTTCTCCCTGTCAGCGGGAATATGCAGAAATGGCCTTTGTTTTTCGAATAAAAGCATTATGAGACTAAGCTAGCGTGTGCATATCGGCCGGATGGCCCTCTTTGGGGTGGGATTATATGGCTGACTCCATGTTCTCGCTCCAGGCATGGTCGTCGAGGTTGTAAATGAACTTGGTGCGGTTTGACGGATTTTGCGCAATGTCTTTGCCCAGGTTGTCCAGCGTGAGGTTGGAGGCGAACAGCTGACTCGGCGTCAGGTAATCCTCACTATTCTTAATGTACTTGCAGTAGTTGTGACGCAGACACTGCCAGGTGACGGCGTAGAGGATGAAGGCGCTGGATTTGAGGACGATGGCGATGCTGACGTAAAGGTATCGGTAAGTGACGTTGTCGTAAAGCATACAGGCTCCTTTAATGCCGCACATAGAGCTCCAGAGCAGGCAGGTGGAATCAATCCCAATGCCAAAGATCAGAGGTGGAGGAATGAAACCTGGGACATGGAAAACAGAGGAGAATCAGAAGAACTGAACTCAAGTTGAAAATTGAAAGAGTTGAACTTTTAGTGCTTATTAATAAAACTGTTTGTTATAATCCTTGATGCTGATTGGTTCTTTGCTGTATTGTGTACCCGAAATATGATGTGCAGTTTCCATAAATTTTCAGCAAGGTACCAACTTAAACTGTAGAGGAATATTGCAAGCTATGTAAAGCCAAAGCTCATGATTCATTCACGATTGGTCAGCAGTGACTTGACTCCTATGCTTCTTTTGACTGCTTTAACACTACACATTAGTGCTGCAGGAAATTGGGGGAAAAAAACAACAATATTTATTATGTTTTTCTGGATATATACTGCGATATGAATATGATTTCACAAGGTGACCCTATTTGATTGGGATCAATTGTAGAGGAGTGCATCTGCATAAAATATACAAAATTATATATATAAAAAAATAGATTAAAGCACAGATGAAGTCAACAAAACAACGTTATAAATTAAACCAAGCTTTATAGTTTTAGGTTGGAGTTTAACAGCATTGAAGTATAGAAACTCAATAATCAAACAAAAAAAAAACTATAGTCTTCATTGTATTAAACAATTAAACACAATTTACCTTTATTAAATCCGTAAACTTTATCATTTTTTTGTGCCCAAATAATTTAAATGCGCTTGAACTCTTACAATCACAGACCTTAAAAACCCATCCAAATAAAATACTTTCATAATATGAAAAGGAAGAAATTAAAAGCCACTACGAACTATCGTAGTATCATAATTATTACACCACTATCATTGGCTTTTGATTGTTTCTGTGCTTTCTTGAATATATCCTTTAACATTGCACCTCTGCGAACCTGGAAATGTGTGTGTGTGTGTGTGTGTGTGTGTGTGTGCGTGCGTGAGTGCGTGTGTTTGTGTAATAAGGGACTGAGTGTCAGTCAGTCGGTTCATAGCTCTGATTTAACTGTGTTTTTTTTCACATGGTCCCCCTATACACTATATGAACATGAAGAATCGCATAAGTCCACATTTGACTAAAATCAATTGTGATCAGTGGACCACAATGTTTGCCCAGCATTACTCTCAATAAGGCAAGGAAATTTTTACAGTATTTCTGATGTTTTTTCTTCTGGAGAAAGTCTTGTTTTATTTTGGCTAGAATAAAAGCAGTTTTTAATTTGTTCAAAGCCATTTTAAGGTCAATATTATTAGCCCCTTTAAGCTATATTTTTTTCAACAGTCTACAGAACAAACCAACATAATACAATAACTTGCTTAAATAACCTAACCAGCCTAGTTAACCTAATTAACCTAGTTAAGCGTTTAAATGCCACTTTAAGCTGTATAGAAGTGTCTTGAAACTAGTCAAAGAACTAGAACAGAACTAGAACTAGTCAAATATTATTTACTGTCATCATGGCAAAGATAAATTAAATCAGTTATTAGAGATGAGTTATTAAAACTATTATGTTTAGAAATGTGTTGAATAAATCTTCTCTCTGTTAAACAGAAATTATTGGAAAATAAAAAGGGGGGCTAATAATCCTGACTTTAACTGTATATATAAGATCAGATAAAAATCTAATAGGAAATATTGTCAAAATATTGCCTTGTTCTGTTAAACATAATAAAAAAATACATTTTGAACAATAATTTTGGTATATGATGAAGTGGCATAATGTCTGCATCAGTCCACGCTCTTCCATCATCAGGGAAAGTACAACAGGAAACCTAATTTCTGTTTCATGTATTTTACAGTATTGAGATGACTAGAAACTGCTCTGATTTTAAATATGTTAGAAAATGATCATTTTGAGAGAAGGCAAATATAGGTGCACCCCTTACAAATCTCTTTTAAATTCAGATTTTAATAGGAAGCTGTACAATAATATATTTGTGCATGTACATTAGATTAGTCAGTACTGAAGCCAAATCTGGAGCTTAATTAACAAAATAACTTACATTAACAGTCCAAAAACTAGTACAGCCAAATTTATATGTTATAGAAAAATATTAAATACAAATTTAAAAACAGGAAAAATCAAGAGAAGAAAAACAAAAATGAAGAATTTAGTTGTAATTTAGATATAATTTATTTAGCAATATTTAGCTTGAATTTATTTTGTAATCTTTCACTTTCTAAATATGTTTGGTGACTAAAATATAATTTAAATAAATATATCTGTTTAATAAAGCTGTTTTGTTTAAATGCACCAAAATACATTGCCTATATTTACTGAGAAATGGAGGAAAATATTCATTTTCAAAATTCATTTTCAAAATGTGTGTGCTAATTGTCAAATCTATATAATAAAGATTCATGCTGCTCTAATTAATTGGCAAATGTGTAAAATGACACCTAAAGATGTCACTTGCTCACCTAGCAGCCGGAGCAACAGGAAGAGAACTCCAAGGGCGTATGATTTCAGCTCTGGGCTCACAGTTCTGCACACACCAACAACACACAGATCAGAGTTGGTTCATTATAAGAAACTAGTGATATGGAACTACATGTATTGTTTTAACTAAACAGTGTCATAGCATTACCTGATGAGGATGATGACAGATGGGGTCTGGGCCATGGCTCCGATCATGCTGCAAGCGCACACCACTGCAAGGAACGTGAGGAAGGCCTGCTGACAGCCTGGACTGGGACACTTCCCTGGTGTGGCCGTACCAAGTCCTTCGCTGTGAGCAATGCACTTACAGCCCGTCAGATTCTGAGAAAGGGAGGACAGCGCAGAGTTCAGTGCATATTTCATGATGGATCTTAAGTGCTGCTCAGGGGATTTGAAGAGGAATAAAATAAACATTTGAGACAAAGGGGACTAAAGAGAACTCAAGTGAGCATTCCCAAAGGAACTCTTATTGCTTATGACTTTATAAAGTGTTTAAGCAGATGTATGTCAGGGTGAATCGATCTGCTTGAATCAGGGAATGTGTCTGTTGGTGTAATCATGTCCTCAAGGAATGTTCGTATTCACAAATTGGAAAGTGACAAAATGGCAGTTGTGTTTGTCACTTAGGACAGCAGAAATTTCACCAATGTTATTGTGCCAGTGTAAAATTCAGTAAAAATAGAACAATCAGGTACAAAACACAGACTCTAATGATCTACACAAGATCCTTAATGCAATTGAATGGATTTTTGGTGTTTCCTAATGAAATTACAGTAGTTATGATTTTTTCCTATTTTTAAGCTTGCACTAAACACAGGGGTGACACTAGACCGCACTAACTGGGGAATGTGCCCCAGTAAACATGGCCAGTGCTCCAGTAAATGCTTTAGTTACAGGTTTTTCTTTGTATGTAAGTGTATTATTTATTAGTGGCCATCCCGGAATAAAGTCGCTATTCTCTACGCTGAATCAGATTGTGCAAGGGAGTTCCCAAAGCAATGTATTGAGATTAATTAAACACTTGATATCTTTCTTATTGGCAAATTAGCATGGAGCATGTGGAGAAACATAGAAAGCACCTCAGACAAGTACATCCTAATAAATTAGCTACAATGTAAAAATTACATCATGTGTAAGCAAAGGAATATTAAACCATTCAAATAAATTTTTTTTTTCCAAAAGTGAAGCTACTGTGTGTTTCATCACTACTGTTTTGAGTGAGGGTTATTTATGCAGTGTTTATTAAGTGAGGATTATTTAAGCATTGTACATCTCTTATAAATGACACTTAAAGACTGTTAAATTCTTAACAGAAAAAGAAAATGACAAATGAACAACAGTGATTCAGCACAAACAAATATTCATTTCAAGATACAAAAATGAAATGGTACAACTGCCTGAAATAAAGAACAAACCTTTGCAATCTGATCTAATAATAAAATGAATGTGCAGTTTACACACTGCTGAATAAGTGTCAAAATAAATGTTTTAATTTGATAAAAACAACAGCAATAGCCTATAATTAAAAATATAACAAGATGATAAAACCTTTCAGTGTTATTCAGTGATGTTTAAACTGAACTATATATTTTTTTGAGATTACACAGACTAATTTACTCTATGTCTGAAAAATAAGACGTTTAAATGCATGTACAATGCAATATAAACATACAAATGTTGGTCGAATTGAGAATCAAAGTTCCTATTATTTATAAACTCAGAAGATAGCGTTACAGCAGGCCTGAAGTCAGCCTGGTGAAAGTTCTTTTTTTCTCAAAATGCAGACCTTTTTACAGTATTTTTTTTTATTTAAATATGAGGTTTAAATACTGCATTTTACTGACGTTTTAAGCACCATTTTTAAAATATATATATATATAAACATTATTGTTCTTCTATTATATATATATATATATAAAGCCTAATAATACATTTATAAGTAGTCATTTAATTGTAATACACCTAAAAATGTTTGTTTAATATGGGTAGTATACTAGTATTCCACTGTAACACATAGACAGGCAAAGCCATTTGAGTTCTGAATAAGCTAAGTAGGCTCAACCCCCTATTTACTCTAGTAAAACCACTTTCTATATTTAAGTGCATTTTTGTTTTCGTGTATTAAATAAATAAACTGCCATTTTTCTAATGAAATGGCACACATATGAATATATATTTTTAAACTTACAGGCTAATTCACATATTAAATGATCTGAATGACAATAATAAATGAGAAGCATTTTTAATACTGGACAACCCTTGGTGTTTCTGTCTCTGTCATTGACTCACATTAAACGAGTACATTCTCTAAGTGCTTCTGTCACTGTGTTTAATTATTTCTGTGCAAGACTGTATGATATAGTTAATGCCACACAAACTGTAAAGTGTTTAATATTGGTAGTTCATTTTGAAACAAAAATGGCGAAATGTTTAAGAGCCGGAGGAAACAGCTGTGCTGATGAGGTGAACGCTGAGAAAACCCGACTGCTCCTTCATGACAATGGGGATACAGGTGATACAAGGTTATCTATATCAAAGAACTGCAAATAAGCATATATTGTAGCAATTTATCTATTTATCTCTCTCGCTGTCCACGGCTGTGGTTTGCTGATCAAATGAAAAACAAAAGACGAGGAGGAGCTGAATTCTGCCACCGTTTTCTTACCAAATTTAAAGGAAACTAAAGCGACAGTTTAGTGTACAGTTTATGAGCTAATTGCAAAAGTTTTAGGAGGGGGTTATTATTATTATTATGGCATAGCAGTCAAAATAGGACAAATGAGTGTTTGGGACAAATTCTGGGGGTGGGTCTTTCGAACAACGGGCCTGTACAAGGACCAAAATCTATTACAGAACTATTATTATTTTATTCTACAGTGCTTCACGCAAATTGCGCGCTGGACCTTTTTAGAATATGGCACCGGCGCGTTGGCGTCGCTGTGGTTACCAGAGTCTGTGGCATTTTTAAAAAAGAATGTGTTCAAAAAGCGTCCGCTGACTGAGAGAAACTGCATTTAGGGTCTGGCCATCGCTGACATTGTTGGTATGTAAAGGTCTGTCTAAAAGTATAATATTAAGTTATTATATGTGGTTGTTTTGACATAATTTTGCTGAAGGACACTTTGGTATTTCTCTCGGTCATGTCGATTCACATTATTAAATTAGCTTTTCCACGTATTTTTTTGGTTATACTGTAGATTTTAAAGTTACTGAAAGTTGGTTGGAAATTGAGATTTCTATATTTTAGACTTGTCAGTGTTAAGATCTTGAATATTTTTTTTATTCTAGCTTGTTTATTGTTATCTTTTTTAGTCACCTATTCATAGTCATAGAATGCCATTTGTTATGTTGTCTGGTTGATAGACATACAATAGATTCAATATTTTTGTTTGTTTGTATGCTTCATTTGTATATTACTATCTTTTACAACATTTGCAGATTGTTATTTCCTGTATCGTCAGATAAATGGATCTGTTATAATGTATTTGTATGCTGTCAGCTTTAACACATATTACTGTAAGTCTATTGGTGGATAGATTGTCTGGCTGTTGTATTATTTATTTGTAATTTATGCTGTCGGCCTGTTCAACATTTGTAGCTTTTTATTGTTATTTATCCTATTTACAGTTTTACTAATTATTGTAACACATTTATCTATTTTAAGTTTATAGATTGTCATCTTATAGAGTATATATTTATTCCTGTGAAATATTATTTGTTAGTGTTAGAACAGAACCAGACTGAAATGTCTGAAGAATGGTATTAAGATGAATTAATGACTTAATATCTTTCTAATGTGTTTTAAAAAATGCAATCACACAGCTCAGCAATGACTGGAAATTGATGTTTAGAAATTTATTTTTAAAAAATCCTTCCAAGGTGAATGGGTGGTGGATGATATAGATAGTTAGATAGGCCTTGCCTGTGTCAGGTTTTTCTTTTTCAGGTAATGGAGAGAGAGCAAGCAGAAGAGGGAGGCTCACAGGAGCATCGATGGACATTTATCCGAAACAGAGCAGAGAGGGTTCTGTTGGTGCTGTCTTGCCGGTTGGAGTGGAGCAGAAGAAGGAGACTCACAAGGGGAATGGTGGAGATATACTTGAAGACTTGGAGCTCAGCTAACAGGTAGAACTGCTTGAACAGACTAAACAATGGAGTTAGTTTCCAGAGAAATTTATTGAGATTAATCAAAGATTTGACATCTTTCTCTTTGGCAGATTGGCAAGGAGCATGTGGAGAAACAGAGAAACACACCCCAGTAATAACAAGTACTGTACATTTAAAATTATTTAGATTTTTTTTTTTTTTTTACATACTAAATGATGGTTGGGTTTTTTTTTCAGACAGACAGACAGACACATAGACAGACAGAGAGATAGATAGATAGTATTGAACAAGCTGATAGAGTTCTATTGATGTTGTCTTTGTCATTTACAGAATGGAGTGGAGTAACTAGGGAATCACACATCTTAGGAATGATAAGAAACTGATGGTCAGGAATGACCTATCGACGACAGATGTCCTTCCAAGAGGTGGTGGTGGGCTTAGATAGTTAGTTTTGTCTGTGGCAGGTGTTTCTTTTTCAGGTAATGGGCACACAACATGCAAAAGGAGAAAACTCACCAGAGTATCGGTGGAGATTTATCTGAAGAACACTGGAGAACAACTTGTACATTGCTAGAGCTCAGCAAGAATGTAGAGCTCTGTTAGTCGTGTCTCTGTCTTTTACAGACTGGAGTGCGGCATGTGGAGAAAATAGGAATCACACACCTCAGCAATGACTGGAAACTGATGATCAGGAATATCCTTCAAAGGTAGAAGGATGGGTGCACAGATGGATGTCCTTCCAAGAAGGGGTTGGAGGTGGGCATAGACTGTTAGATAGATGTCTTCTTTGTGGCAGTTATTTAAATTGTAGGTAATGGAACCGCAACAGGCAGATGAAGGAGGCTCACAAGAGCATCAGTGGAGATTTATCTGAAGAACACTGGAGAACACTTTGTTTATTGCTGGAGTTCAGCCAGCATGTAGAGCTCTGTTAGTCTTATTTTTGTCTTTGGCAGATTAGGCTGGGCCATGTAGAGAAATGAGAATCACACCTCAGCAATGACTAGAAAATGATGGTCTGGTTAGGTATTTGCTGGATTGATGGATGAATGGATAAACAGATGCCCTTCCAGGAGTAAGGAGGTGGAGGTGGACTTTTACTAGATTATTAACTAGATGTCTTGTTTGCGGCAGATGTTTCTATTTCAAGTAATTGACTCACAACGGGCAGAAGAAGAAGACTCACAAGAGCATCGCTGGAGATTTATCTGAAG